GTTACTATTTCAATGACATCCATTAAAAAAAATCTATTTTATTATTTTTCTTACTTATCTATATCCAATAAATTCGTGTACACAGTACATTTTTTACATAAATATACAAATATCAATATACGCAGGTTGATTTATGTAATATACAGTATAAGTTCGCCTTTGTACTATTACTGTTATCTACAGTAAACCCTTATCTTTGTTTACTTTAATGTACAATAAAATGTAATAAACAAATATTTACGAACACTGTACAAGCGCACTAGCATTATCAATACTATTAAATATAATACCTGTGGGAATCGACATGTGCGATAACCATGACCTGTTTGTGAAATTATATTATTACTTATATATGTATTGTATTTATATTATATAACTAGCTTTTGCCCGCTACTTCGTTCGCGTCTACTTCAGAAGTAGGGTAAACCAATAAAACGAACCAATTCTGACATAAATAGCGTATCAAGATAAAACGTAAACCAGCTTCTAAGTTATCTAACTATCAAGTTGGTTAATGTTGTGTTCTTGAATATCTCTTTAGGAACTCAACTGTGAAAACTGCTTTCAAAATAGTGCAGTAGTTTTTGGATGATTCCGGAACCAACATACAGACAGATAAAATTTCTAAAAAATATTATATTGGCTTCTATTACTCTTGTTAAGATCCACTCACGTCACTTTTTTTAAATATCGTGTACAGACATGATCTAGTTACAATTTTAGCGTATTAGTAAGGGGTTAGTAAGGGTAGTCAGACAAGGGGTTGGCAAGTCGCGGTTCGTGAGCCACCTGCGGCACTTAGGATATGAAACTGCGACTCTTTAGTTCCATCCGCAAATATTATTTATATTATAAAAAAAAAAAAATTAAAAATCGTTTCGAATCGATTAACAAAGATTAGGCACCAGACTTCACTTATACAAGCACTATTTATTGCTAACAAAAAAATTTTGGTGCCTCCTTAAAAGTTTAGAAATTTTGTAAATTGTAATTTTTGACTCTTCCGATTTTTGAGTCGGAAGGTTGCCGACCTCTGGCTTAGACGAATATGTGCCATAGTATTAGGTACGGTAGTGGTTATGATTAAGTAGCAAGTATTTGTTTCATTAAAAAAATCTTTAATTTTTATATAATACAAGGGGCAAAGAAGCATGCGGCTCACTTGATAATAAACGACTATCGCCGCCCATGAGCACACGCAACTCCGGAGGAATTGCAAGTGTGTTGCCGGCCTTTTAAAGGAAATATACACTTTTCTTGAAGGTTACGGGATTTTTTATGACGAATATGGCAATAGGCTATTTCCTTTCACAGTGACATCTATGCCCAAATGTTGGCCGTTAACAGGTTGTTATAATGATATTGATAAATATGCAGATGGTTGTTGTAATCGCTCAGAATTAACGACGTAATCCCATAAAATATGCTAAAAACAATAGACAGATAAATTGAGAGCCTAAAAAAGATTAATTAACAAAAGGATAAAATTAAATGAATTGTCAAAGTAAAAGAGCATATTAAGGTTTCGTCAGAATCGGCAATGCGCACGTGACAATCCTAAAGTTTCAGACGTCCATAGGCTGCAGTAACCATTTACCATCAGACCCGCTGTATGCTTGTTTGCCACCTGTTTGTCATGGTATAAAAAAAGTGGAAATATTATTAGAATTTTTCTATATCAATTTACAAATATGTGGTAAATTATAATACCACATATTTGTACCAAGATTGTAATTATAAAAATGTTAATTATCAAAGCGAGTCATAAGTAACATATCGCCAACCCTATATTACTTTAAGGGTTGTACACACCACAGCGAATTGCACATACGTAAAATATTCTCTCCACGCGCTGGAATGTTGATTGCATCAATTAAGTGTCCGCAATGCGGGTAGAGAATCTTTTGTCTCTCTGTGTACGCATACTAATAGTTAAAATGCGTCTGATTTTGGGGTATAAAACTTACGTCCTTAGGAATAGCAACGCGTGAGAGTTCCATGGGCGTAATTGTATATTCTATGGAGTCTGTGGTGTTGTTTCAGTTTGTAGGTGATGATGGCACTGTTATCTTACAATTTTCCCATTTTACGACATAAAAAAAACATGCTATCTTTTGACGTTAATTAAATACTATCGATATTATCAAATTGTTAGTACCACGGTGGTTTAAAATCAGCTGGACAGTTTTGTATCCAATTTGTACACATAAAATCAAGGCCTACATTAACTCATATTTCTATTTTTTATCCTGATTTACGCTAGTAAAGCCACGAGATATAGTTAGTAACTTAAATAGTATAGAATAAGAACAGAATATTTTATAGCATCTACTAGTTTCTATTGAGTGGAAAAGGATTAATAGTAATGGGGTCTAATAACCTCATTTATTATACTCTATTCCGGGTCGACCTCCACGCGGTTTCCCCTGAAAACCATCATCGTTAATAATTGTTGAATTCATCACGATGGGCCAACTGACCTTCTTCCATTCTTCACTGGTGGCCTCGTTAGCATATACCGACAGCGAAGGTAAGAATACCATTCCATTTTCACCCATAAAATAACTAGTTTCTATCATTTCCATGAAAAATACTAAAAGTGAACTAAATAGAGTTGTTACATACAATATCTTGCAGTATTTAAGTAGTATTAGTATTCTAAAATTAGAGAAATTAGATACTAAGTATTTTAGTTTCGTGTGAACAAAGGAACAACTTCACTGCATTGTTTGCAGTTTACAGTATCGTAAACAAGTTCGATGTTTATTCTATACAGGTAGTGCACGACTAGTGTGGCGTTTCAGTACCGACACTATATTTAACGTTAAGAGAACTCAAATTTTAAATGTTTTATATAACATATTAAAGTAAGCACAAAAAAATATTATGGAAAAGCGTTTGTATATAGGATGAAAACTAGCATATTTTCTACCAATTAAACTGGACATTTTTCATAAAGAAATATGGATTAAAAAATTTTTTTTAACACGAAAGCTAGACGCGTCGTGTTAGTATACAATGCTCAACATTTTTTGTCATTTCTCTATTAATATTAAAAAAAGTTTTAAGTTTCATATTATATTTTACTATAAGAACTACCGAATTAACTTATGTGTATTTCAGGTGAAAAGCTCGAATAGTTTACCTGTAGTCTGTGGCTGTGACGCGAGCGCGAATTAAGGGTCAAGTAACTTAATCCAGTAGTTATACTATATATATTACATTAAAAAAAAAGTTGGAAAATGAAAAAGCGTGAGAATAATATTCAGATTCACTTGTAGAACGCTCCCTTTAGAGTCCGTAAATGTAATTTATTTGACATCACTAGGTATGAAATTTTCGAGCGGTTAAAGTCACAGGAAATAGGTAGTGTAGAATGAAATTATGCTATTTTATCAACAGATAATTATTTTGATATCACTTAGTCGCCTAGTCATAAGCTTAATATGTTATAACTTATTAAGTATACCTAATGCACTCAACTTGATTGGCTATTGGATAGAGCAATTTATATAAAGTAGGGCTTCATAAATTTAAATTTGTTGATAGCTGACAACTATATTTTATAGAACTTTTATGACCCACATACAGTGAACAATACAATAACCACTTTAAACATTTCTACCGTGAATCAGCGATGCGTGCAATGCTATTGCAATACACTTGCAATCACAGACGTAGATGCAGAGAGATAGACGACACATTACTCCAATTTATTTAAAACTAAACAAAATAAAAATATATATATATATATATATAATCACAGAGGAATAAACTTCCAAAAACCTACTAACGATAAATAAAATAAGGTAAAAGTAAGACAAACTATTTTTTATATATATATTTTTATATATATATATATATATATATATATATATATATATATATATATATATAAAATAAATGAATATTCTTTTTTAAATAACATCTTGGCTGTACGAATAAAACGAATAAACTTCCAAAAACCTATTAAGGATAAATACGTACGTAATAGTACACCCACTCTAACTTGCCTATCTTGCTTTAGAATTATAATTTTCGTTTATATAATTAAAATCCCTTATTGGTTGTAAGAGAGGTAGCATGTAAGTTTCTTTTTAATAAATCAATTAATAAATTAAAAAGTAAAAAAGCTGTCCAATTTTTATACAAAATTAATGATTTTTTATATAACATCTTGGATGTACAAGTATAACGTATCGATTAACATATTAAATTTTGTGAGAAATGTGACACTCATCTGCAGAAATCCGCAGAAAATAAGAAACATATTTCCATTGATTGAGTATAAAATAAATTTTACTACGTCTAAGTATAAAACAAATATGTACCTAACATAAACAAAGTCGCCTGCGGCATTCATTTATCTATTTGCCTAGACTGACATTGTTTGATGGATTTTATAGCAGTTTTCATTTAGATAATTCGGAGAAAGATTTCAGGCTGTAATGTAAAATAAAGATACTCGTATTATAATTAAAATAGAGCAATATTTATTAATCAAGTTGAAAAAATAAACATTTTGAGTTTTTAATTTTTGCGTCCGAACGCGGCCGGACCATTTATATGTCCCATGAATACATACAAGTATAAACACGAAAGTTTGTGAGGATGTATGGATGCATGTTTGTTACTATATCAAGCAAAAACAAATAAATCGAATTTGAATGAAATTTGGTACACGGACAGGTTGTATTATATGGTAACTTAACATATGAACTATTTTATATAATAATTCACACAAAATTCAAATGTTCCAGAGAAAAAAAACTGTTACATGGATACATTCTTTATAATAAAACAAAATGCATCATTTTTCGGTATTACAAGTTATAAATATAGTATTTTGGTATCCTTATTCACTCACTGTTAAATTTTGAAATGTTACAAATGATATAACTTTACTGAAACTAGAAAGAAAATAGGACTATTTTTGGCGAACCGATTTTAGCGAGACACTTCATCCTGATGCTATTAATCAAAGTAGATATAATAAGTACCTTCAGGCCAATTGTCGTACACGTGTATAGCGATGTCACCCGCTGAGTCCACTGGACTGAAAACGAACTCCTTGGTCTTGCCGGATACCAGAATCAGCCGCAGGTTTATCTGAAAAATAATTACTCTTATTATAATACCATTCAAAATATCAAAAGTAATGCTTCTTTTCACAACACCACAGTAGGATGGGTTTTTATTCCATTTTCGTCCTATTAAAAAAAATTATCTGTGCTGTATATTTATGTAACAAATATGCAAATCCGCGCTGTCGAGTTTGTTGCAGTGCGGTGGGAATATAAACAAAACGATACTGTTTATTATTCGAGTCATCCATCTATTCTTTATGTTACTTTCTCTAACCTTAATTAAGAGAACAAACAAATGGTACTTTATGTATATGTAAAATTATTTATCAGACATAAAAATAAGCATTTAATATTTAGTAACAGAGTATGTAATTATAAGGAGTTAGAATAATTCATCGGGCAGCAACTATTTAACAGATAATTTCCAGAGATATGATAATACAAATTCTATTTGCTAATAAACCAACTGACTTCATTACATTTAATATTTTTATGTACACAACCTAACATACTAAAATATTTTTTAAACTAATTTCATCCGCAGATAAATTGTAATAAAAAATCTTATTCGAAATTTAAAAAAAAAGACAATTCGCAACAGAATCTGCGCAACACAAAGCCTCGTTTACATCACAAATTCACCTAATTAGTTCACTTAGCGACTAATCGCACATGTGACCTGCAAGTTCTATTCCGGGCGGCCGAGATTAACATGACAAAGCCGAAACATGTTTTATTTTATTTAGTTGGAGAATCTCATTCGACGCACATTAATATGTATGGAAATGCGATGGGCTCGTCGCAACTGGTAAGTGTCGTTGGTGTGTCGCGCACGTGATGCTAGCCTATGCAACCTTAATGAGACTTGAATAATTACTATCGGCAGTTTGTCTCCTTCAAGCTTTTTACGTCGAAATAAGTAGAACTAATCAGCATAAATAAATTAGTACTCTAATGTTGTATGTATTTCTTTATATCTAAATAATTTTGAACAAGAAATAGTTTAGAATTACGTTTGCAATATTTGCTTTAAAATAAAAATTACTTTAAAAATTTTTAATTAAAAACACAATTTAAATATTAAAAAAAGATGTTTCTCGAGCCTGCCAGGAGTCGAACCTGGAATCTCTTGATCCGTAGTCAAGCGCGTTATCCATTGCGCCACAGGGCCAGTTGGTAGCATATCGAAAATAGGTTACATAAGAAGACAAATTTTATTATACAAATCGGTCAATAAAAAAAAATGGTAATACGATATGCGTAATAGAAGACTGAAGATATCTTTCACATACATTTATCCATCTTTTCTTTGATCCCCTCCCTTTAATGTTACAACTGCCATAAAAGCGTACGAATATATACCGCAGTGCAGTACTCCAACCGGATGTAGGTAGACTTGTTCCGGATCTACCATATCCGTGAGCATAATGTATAATTGACTACTGCAGTAAACTACGTTATAGTTCTTTAGCTATAAGTCTATACCTAAAACGTTCACGTGGGTGTCAGTTCTCTCCGCTTACCATGGAAATGGCCTGGCGTGAAGATAAATGCATAGTTAAATATGTATTATTTAACAAAATTTTTGTTAGTGCAATCACTCAATTATGCTTAATTATTAAAGCTTAGTAATTTCAAAAGTTTTGTGGTTTTTAAATCAAAATAACTGGTTTTTTCACAATTGGAGTCGGTTTTTTTTTATGGAAAAAGATTGTGTTCACATTGGTTTGATTAATTATCAAAACATACATAAATACAATTTATTAATTTCTTATTGTATCTCCAATAACATGTATAATATAATTTAAATAAATAAATTACTAGTTCCTATCTATATACATGCTGAGTGTATATTATACAAATTTTTATTATTATAAGATTCATACTAATATTCATACTAATAACAACCAATTCATACTAATATCACAATGTAAGGAATGTATGGATAATATATGGTATAAAATTAAATTTCATAGTTTCAGATAGTGAGACATACATAGACCCATATCATAGACATAAATCTAAATCAACGGTCAGACCTTTGATATATTAATGAAAACATATTACTATGTGTATTTATGACAATCGATCAAATAATTTATGACCTGTATTTTACTGTTACATACTGTATTGAACATAGTAAACAATGTATGACAAATTACTAGCAAATATTAAACGATGGCACACCGATATTCGTGAATATAATTTGAAATATATTATTATAATATTTATTATGCTAATAACTTTAACCAAAAACGGGTTGGGGAGAAAGGGATTGTTAGTAATGGGGTCTAACTGCCCTATTGCTAGCAATATACCCTGTCAGGTCGACCTCCACGCGGTTCCTTTTGGAAACCACCGTGGTTAATTCTAGTGCAAATCATCACGATGGGCTAACTGACTTGCTTTCATCGTCACCTATCATCCCTCACTGGTGCCCCGCCAGCGTATACCGTTAGCGCAGGCGGGGTTACCATTCCATTATCATCCATTAAAAAAAAAAAACAAAAACGGGTTAATTTAGCTGACTAAATGTCAACTATTTTTTTGCTACATTTGGCTAACTCAATTTGACATATATTTTTTTTAAACTGGAACAAAAGGCGCCGTTTTTTTCAAAATTACAAGTAATTAGATTAAAAAAATCCCATATTAGGTCGATTTCTTAGAATTAGAAAAAAAAATTCCTGATATACTAATGTGTATATTATTTATAAATTAATACATGTATTAATTAAAATAGAGCCCATTTTAACAATTTTACGACAACATCTTTTACTACTTCTCTCGTCCTTATATAAATCAAAGCAATCAGTAAAGATAAGCATCATTACAAATCTTTAAGCACTATTTACCTTGTTTTTTTTTTAAATATATTGTTAATGATTTTGTATCGTTTTTATGTTTCAAATTAACCTTAATGTAATTTTTTTTTATACACTTTATTACTCAGTATGTGTGTATATTCTGGTAGCTTTATTTACATATATACAGTCATACACATATAAATAAAAAAAGTTGTTTCTGAAGAAACATTTATATGGTGGCCAATAAATAACAATAACATTTGTATAACGGATTGTGTTCTAAGGAATTGTTCAAAATTATGCCTATAGCCACCTTTTATCATCGCACCGCTCGATGACCATCCATCCATGATCCATCGACAGGAAATTCATGCTTTTACCAATTAAAATCTAAATGGTCGCGTAGTGTGATTTTAGAATAATTTTCTTCCACGAATGCTCAAGCTATGGAATGAGCTCCCTGCCAAGGTTTTACTAGAGACTACAGTATGGGGTCCTTCAAAAAGTGTGTATTAAGATTTCTTTAAGGTCAGCAACGCGCACGTGATACACCTGGTGTTACAGACGGCCGTAGGCTACAGTGACCGTTTACCATCGAACAGGCTGTGTGCTTGTTTGCCTATTGTTGTTTGGCCACTAAAGTTGGCCCAAATAAAAGCTATGTACCTATTAAAAAAAAAAAAGAAATATTTAAGCGAAACTCCCAAAAGAAGGTTTTCACTTCATATTATGTTGTTGTTTTATTTGCATTTAATATTACATTATACATTATATATTACAGCAAATCAAAGAAAAAAATAAAACAGTGATACGCAACATAATAACAGGTTAACTCACATTTTTAATAAAAAATATTTACAATTTTTTGTGACAGACAATTTATTGTTTGTTTGTACTCGTATATAAGCTCGCTGCTGAAAATAGCCGTTCTGAATATGTCTAAATTTATATGAGTGTTATTGGGTTGGGATATTTTTTTTTATTTCTAACAATACAAAATGACACGCAATTCAGGTTAGGCTTTTCAACTTAGTATTAAAACTTTTGGTATTATTAATATATAGTTCATATACATAACTCATAAAATTTTAGGAGTTAGAAACTTTGGGTAATAATGACTAGCGACCTGCCACTCCTGGCCGTATAGTCCCGGGATAGAATAGGTCACTTCTTCCTTTCCCCTGGGTGTCGTAAAAGTCGACTAAGGGATGGGCAGCAGCGTCCCTCTTAAAATATCTCTAAAACCTTACTGCGGTTGCCAATCCGCCTACCAAGCGTGGCAACTACTGGCAAAACCCCCCAAGGGGGAGGCTTATATTCAGCAGTGGACGGTTAAGGGCTGATATGATAATGATGATGCTGACGATGACCTGTCCCTACACATTAACCTATAAAGGTAGATCTGTAATTTTTGTTATATAAACTATGTCCACATTACTCATTTACAATGTAAGTTTTAATAGATAAAAAAAATGCCAGTAGCACTCCAGAAGTGCCGACAGAAGTGAAAACTTAAAGAATTACGTATGTATTTTTTAAATCGTCAGAGGTGTCGGTTACGGTAACAGTGTCGCGAGTTCAATGGTTTTTCCCCCATCTCAAAAAATGCCAATATACTTGTGTATATATGTACGTACATACACAACAAATGTAGATACTTATATACAGAGGTGTCGGTTACGATAACCGTAATAGTGACGCAAGTTCAAAGGTTTTTTCTCATCTCAAAAAAAGCCCAACGCGCCTAAAGAAGGAAAATTTTTAAAATCCGTTTATTATCGTTATTCGTTAGTTTACTAACAACAAACAAACATACAAATTTCCTCATTATAATATTAGCAAGTAATTTTTAAAGCACACATAAATATAGACAAATCAGTCAAGGTCTAATAAATATTTCAGATAAACTAACCACAAAGCTGATTTATATTAGTACTGCCAACGACTTAGCGAGAGCCTAAAGATTTTTCTTCGCAGTTTGAAAATATACAACTAGCAAAAAACAGTAATATTATACAAGGCCAAGAAGCAGTTTTCATAGATAGTTATAAAAATATCTAGAAGGTTAACGATGTTACTCGTAATTACGAACAGTACAGAGCAAATTTCAAAGAAGTGTAAATTGGCACAAAAAGGGACCCCGGTTTAGAAAACTAACTTTTCCTAATTGGTTTCAGACTGAATATTAAGGGTAGTGTTCTTTTCCTTTCTCGGA